CGGGTATAAAGAAAATTCAGTAGAGAATTTGGGCGAAGATATATATACTCGGAGAATAGTTGAGTTCTTAAGTGTACTCGCCGATTAAAAGGATTGTTAGGAAGCGACTATTTCAAAATATATATACTCGGAGAACAGTTGAGTTCCTAAGTAACAAAGTCTGCTTGCCAAGTAAAAAGATTATTAAAAAGTAATATTTTTTAAACTCAAAAGAAAGTGTGTCATGAGGTTATATTATTTAGTGGCAAGTTAATGAGTTTAATCGTGAATTTGGTCACCTGATATTAACATTGTTAAGTTAAGTTTTAGATACAGGGTGTACTCGCTAAAATAGAAAGTTGATAAAATTAACATAGTTGTATGAGATTGTTAAAACTAGAGCAAACAGTAATATTATAGCCATTACCAAGCATCCGACTTCTAATACTAAAGGAAATAAAAGTAAAAAAAGGATAAAAGAAACAAGTCAGAAGCCACCATAATAGGTGGCATGACAATTCAGAAGAAATACATTTTAAAAAGTGGCATTCAACTTCTTCACAGTTTTTCACGAACATCTGAAGCATTCTCGGAGGTGGTAGTTGTAGGATTCGGGTTCAAAGGAACATATTCAGAAGGGAGGGTTGTAAGAACAACTGTTTGACCTTCTTAATCATGAGTACACAATTGACCATCCTTTATAAAATTGAAGGTTTCAATTTTGTGCAAATCATGAAGAGAAGATTCCAGATTGAAGAAGCCAACCTGGTCTAGCACCCAGCCTCGAATTTGGTGACCATACGCTTCAAATTTAGAGTCCATTTCATTACCTGCTTGCTCTAAGCTAGAAGATTTCTTTTTTAAAGTATCTACTTCTAATTCCAGCTCAGCTACTCGGAAGTCATAGTCTTCGAAATTCTTTTTCAGTTGGTCACGTTCTTGGGCTAGGGTCGAGTAATCTTTTTTGGCGACTTCCAGTTCATCAGTAGCTGATTTTGCGGCATCTTTAGGAGCTTTGGCGGCCTCCTTCGCAGCAGTAATAGTTTTTTCATTCTCCTTTAATCGGACTTGCAAACTGTGAGCAACGAACTCGGCAGCTTGAGCCCGTTTGGTGAGGCGTTCCTGCTCAGCTTTGAAGTTATTTTTAAAATTTTGCAAGTCATTCATTTCGGTGAAAAGATGTTGGCGTTTAGCCAAAGCCAAAAGAGCCATTTCAAAGTAGTGTGCCTCTCGGAGGTCATGGTCTCGAAGAACAGTAAACTTGGAGATAAGCTGATCTAAGGAAAGTTTGTCCTATTTTTCACGGAGCCCGGCAGTAAAACAAGGCTGCAACTTGTTCAGAAAAGGGATGCCAGAGGATGGTGTAGCAACGATGGAAGTCAGAGGAGCAGAGGATGGTAAAAAACGACAGAAATCGGAGGAGTCAAGGTCGTATCAGCAGGGGTTGAATCTGGGTTTTGTTCATTAATTCTAACCCTTTTTCGTTGGCGGAGCTCGGCAGAGTCAACTGATCCTTCTACTTCTACTATAATGGTATCTCCGGGAACAGAGCCTGTAGCAGATGTAGCTGGGATATGAGGAGTAGGAGAAGGGTCCTTGTGGCCTGAAGCAGTAGGAGTATACAATGCTATACTCGCTGCATGTTGCAACGAGTTATGCACTGACATGCTATTCAAAAAGTAACATTGAGACTTTACTCATTCCACCCTGATGCGAGTTTCTTTTTTCTCCACGTGTCATTGAAAAGCAGAAATCAAACTGATTGATTTGACCACTTATACAACTAGTAACGAGTTTAGTGGCATCAACAAACGTATCACGTGACGTAATAAAACTCATTGACAATTATAGTGAATTTGATGTCGTGGCATATTGATAAAATTTTTGACCCTGTGGCACTCCGATATTTTTTATTCTAAAAAGTGGCACAATAGTCGATGTTCCATCTTTATGTCTATCTTTAAAAGATCACTGGAAATGCTTCAAAAGGTATTGGCGACCACCATCCAGATTAAGGGCTTGATCGGGCAACAAAATAAGGCTACGTTTTGAACACACATCGGAATTAATTAATTTTTTAAAAAAAAAATAATTTCTATCCTACTTGAAGAGCAATTGTTGGCTAACTTTCGCACAATTGTAAACTTTGTATTGGCCGACTTAAGTTCAATTTTTATATCATTTGAGTCTAGCCCAAACTCTATTTGGACTTGGGTTAAAAATAATTTTATGTTGAATCCAAAATTTAAAGTGAAACTATGATCCACTCTAGTCTTAAACCACATCTTATGTTGCTCAAAGTCAAACCACTGGAAAGGATTCTTGTTCAACATTTTTCTTTTGTATACAATCTCCCTCACAATAACACCACTAATCTCTTTGAATGCATTGTTCCTAGTTGTTTTACATTCTTTATATACAAGAGGGAGTTTAAATAATGACAGAGATATATAAAATCATTAATATAACATCACCTAATAACTTAAACTTTTGAGTTGAATTGGTTCTTTACAAATATTTTTTTGCAAAATATGAAAAAGAAAAAAAGGAAAACGGGTACAAAAAAATGACTAGTAACACTTTAGTTCAAACCCTTCCATATTTGCCATACGATTCAAAGTAATAATTGCTATTTAGAAGCATATTGCACAGATTTTATAGAAAAAAACCCATCAAAATTGAAATTTATTACCAATTGTTGACTAGCTCTTACATTGTACATAATTTATATAAATGATTCTACAAGTCAAATAGCATAATATTTTAATGGAACCATTGAAATCAAAAGATCCATTTTATATTCGGGAAAATCATAAACAAAGAATTAAGAAGTGAGAAAGCAATCAAAAGAACAATTTGACTCTTACGCAATTTAAAGTCAACTAGGTAGATAAACAATAAATGTTGGTTGTTGTGCTTCAATCGTCAACATTAAAAAGGGCAACGATTTTACCCATTGTGTTGTAACAATCAGGGAAAACACCAAGAACTTACAGCAACTTCAATTCTTTATTTTAAGAAACTTCAATACATTGAATTTCTTGGAAACACCTTTTTTTATCTATAAAGATATATTTTGGTTCATCGATTACTTATTAATCCGATTCAAACCGGATATGACCATAAGTTAAGTAAAGCTTTTCATTCCAAATTTTTTAATACAACTGTATATTCAAAACTCAAGCTCGAGATCATTGATTAAGTTAAAATAACTCTGTATGGGTTGATCCACATGCTTTGAGATCCAAATATCTATTTTAAATTATTAATAGTTTATAGGAAATAGAAGTATAATATTGTAGGAAAGTGTTTAAGTTATATTACCGAGATAGAGATTGTAGGACCCACACTTTTTAATTTTTTTTATTTTTAAAAACAAGTGTGGGTCCTATAAATTTTATCTCTATAACATAATCTAAACACTTTCTTACAACATCATATTTCTTTTTTCCACAGGTTATGTTATATACAAGGGATCTATTAATCTTATGTTGCAACAGAGATAAGATTGTGAGATCCACTACTTTTTCAAAAAAAAAAAAAAAGAGAGTAATGGACCCCACTATTTTGTCTCTGTTGCATGAACATGAAATAATTATTTCTCTATATAAAAACATAGAAACTTTGAACCTGAACTATTTTTTCAGCCCCCTCAGTTGTGGACAAGGAAGTAACTCCACCAAAATAAGTTAAATCGAAGAGGAAAAATAATAATAAAAATAAGAAGTGGGAATTATAAAAATTATACATACAGATAATAGTGAATATAATTATTTAAACTACTAATGCATTCTGTACAGAATTTTGAATTACAATTATAACATCATTTATACATTTAACAATGACTCAGCTTGATAAGGCTGTTTGGTCGAATTTCAGCATCAAAAGAAAACGGGAATAAGGATGTCCTTATAGATTGAAAAGTACATTGGCCATATGCATATTAGTAACAGAACTTTGTTGTTTGGGTCACGTTCACACAAAAATATCAATGGATGAACACCAATAAGAGACAAGCTGTGACCACCAATGGTGACATTTTCAAGCTAACAAAACAACACAATTTTCAAACATGCAACAACATTTGGTTCCAGAGTTAGGTCCTTGTCACTTTCAATGAGTGTAAAAAATCACAAGATCTTCAACTACGTTAGAAATCTTAATTCATCTTTATTTTTATTTTTATTTTTTCCCCCAAATTGATCATGATTATAAAATAAAACTGAACAATAAGGGGTAAATAACTAGATATAAAAATGAAAGAAAAAAAAAATTACCTACAAGCATATGAATTAACTAGCAATGGGTTGTTTCAGCTTAATTAATGGTCTAAAGTTCGAATTTCTAGCAACGCAATTATGTCAAAACTTAATAGAAAAAAATCTGCTTCCCATATAATCGTACCTGGTTCGAATGGGATTAAACTAATGGATAATATAAAATAAAATAAAATGAAACCAATTAATTTGAGGGTGATGTCAAATTATGACATAGAGAGTTGTGCCTTTGAGTGGCCAAGAAAGTTCCATGTGATGTTCTTTGAATAGTACAAAAGACTTTTGATTATTAATGAAATAAAAAAATCCCTATATACAGTTGGAAGAAACTTCCCACATACATTATTGCTACATCAATCAATTATTATTCAAATGTATAATGTAATGTTATATTAAGATGAGATAGATCCTTTGATACCGGTGTCAAATTTCAAATTTGACACCTTATGTAAGAGCCGTTAGATCTAAAAAGATCAATGGTGTGACATGCTTACAAATCAGAGTCGTTGATCTTTTTTAATCTAACGGCTCTTACATGAGGTGTCAAATTTAAAATTTGACACCGGTGTCAAAGGATCCTACCCCTATTAAGATAGCTTTCACATTACACCTCACCAGCAACTCCTTAAAATCTGCTACCAAGAAAGGTTCTTTCCACGTTTGCACTTTGCATATATCCCAACAGTGCTTTAAATAGGCCTTATAATCCTCAAATTGCATATATACAGTTACCCTCTACTTCTCACTCTTCTGTGTGTTTGTCTTTGTCTTTGTCTTCTAATTGTTCACAACCATGTTAGATTCTGTATTGGAGTTCATCACTCAAGCTGCTTCCAACTCTACATTCATTTTCTGTTTTTGCAATTTGATCATAGTTATTATCCTACTTGACTTGAAGCCTGGCCTCAGTTTTCATCAAGCAAGTGAAATCTCTCTTTCCATAGGTGCAAATCAAAAACAAGGAGCAAACTCTAAGTGTCTAGTTGAAAAAGACTCAGGATCATTGCCACAAGTAGCAGAAGTGTCACATGTCCAAGAAGAAGAAGCAGATGCAGAAGCAAAAGTAGTGGACAACATTGAAATTGAAGGCAGTGATGATTGCAGCAATGAAGAAGAGGAAAAGGAGGAAGAGAATGATGAGTTGAGGAAAAGAGTGGAGGAATTTATAGAGAAAGTTAATAAAAGATGGAAAGAAGAATTGTTGAGCACATCAAGCTTGGTATAGAACTCAAACAATAAGGAAATTTAGGCCTAAAATTTGAGTTATTAACAACTACAGGCTTGAAACTTCTGGTTAATTTTGTTGTATTGTATCATTCAAGAAAATATCATAGAAATAGTTGTTTATAAGTGGTGACTTGAAATCCCTCTTGCTTATGTGTTTGAGAGGTAACTGTTCCAACATGCAAACCATAGTGCTTTAGTAAATCAAACCATCGAATTAACAGAACTTGAGTGAGATTCCCGAGGCATTTGGTATTTTTTTTATTCGAGAATTACGATTACCAGGAATGTGAGTACTGGGACTATTGGATGAAATTCATTGAGTCTATATTTGATTGATTATAAAATATTACTGAAAATTTGGTGTGATATTATAAATATGGGAAATAATAGCCTCATGTTGTATAAGAGAGTTATCTTATGTCATACACTCATAGAATTTTATGCCAATTTTTTCTTTTCTTTTCCTTTTTATTTTTACATTGTGAACCCCACATATTTGTGTCACTCACATGAGAGTACTATCTCATGTAACATGAGATTAGTAAACCCCTATAAATATACCCCCACTTTGATATTTTCTTTAACTACTTTGGTAGGGTTATTTTTGTCACATTTTCAAAGAAGTAATGTCTTATCACCTTTTTCTTCAACCACTTTCCCAACAATCCAACAATACCGCCCTCTAGGTGATATTCTAAACAATAATTTTTATCCAAGTTTTACACATAAAATGAAGGGATTTAATTTTGTCATGTTGCATGAGAATTCAATTCTCATGTTGTGACTCAACTAGTGGTGGACCCCATATTTATTAAAAAAAGAAAAAGAAAAGAAAAATTTTGCACGCAAATCGAAGGGTCACTAACATGAGAGTTGAATTCTTATGTAACATAAGAAAATGTTTTCCCTAAAATGAATTACCAGCTATCTCACTTTATTGGGTAAATTTTTTAAAAAACAATATCAAACATGGTCATCTTAAAAAGCCACACTCACTTTCCTGCGTATCAAAAAAAAAAAAAAAACCCTAACAAACATGGATAAGGAGATAAGATTTTTCAATGTAGAGCTTTATTCTTGTGCACCTCACATGGATAAGGAGAAAAGGTGAAATGCATAAAGAGCATGCTTGGAATCGGCATATGTAGGGATTCCTTTCATCTTTTTCTTTTATTATTATTTCTTTTCTTGCAAACTTTATTCCAAAATTTCTTTTTTTATCCTTTTCCTCATATTGGTTGTACTAGCCAAGAAGGGACCTCTATTTTTTCTTTCTGAAAGTGGGATGAAACATAGCAAAAAGGTTGTGTAGCAAGTAGTAAATGTAGTAATAAAATTCTTTATGCAAAAATCATGGTTTTTGGGTACACATAGTCCATCATCACTTTTCATTAAACCTCGACTAACAAGGAAGACACAATTGGAAAGATATTATCTTTAAATTTTGAATACATGACCTTTCAATCTCTATTACCCTATTACACTTCTCCTGATTCGCCCTCTTGGGCACATTAATAGTCCACAAATAATTTGACATTTTTAGATTTGTGTCTGACCATGCTAAATTTGTCAAATAAACCAAAATGATTTCTTGCTCTTTAGTTTCTAATATGGGCTTAACATTTCTGCAGCCGTCGTAGATAACACTCTTCTGACACAGAAAAGTAAGTCCCACGGCATTTAAAAAAAAAAAAAAAACAAAGATCCGGTGCCGTATCCTAGAATCCGGACGCAGATCCTGGCTAACTGTAGGTGCAGCGGTTGCAGAAATCATTTTGCCTTCTAATATACTACTTTTTACAGCACCTTCTTACATAAGAATTGGGTATTCTTAAATAGTAATCGAAGCAAAAGAACAATATTGACAATCATAAAACATAAAAGCTAAAATGTAATTTTCTCTTTCACAACAAATAATATTGTTAGGTTACATTTTAGAAACACCCACATACACTCACATCTCAAAACATTCTTATAAAATCCTAAGAAAGAACGTGGCATAACATATACCCTACATCTAATTGCTACAACAATGAGTAAACAATATTAGAGATAAATCAGGAAAACAGACAAGCGGAAAGCCTAACAAATAGATTTCCTAACTAATATCTAAATGAGAAAGAGTACAATTTCTTAGTCAAAACCAACCCATATCCCACTATAAGTAAGACTTTAATCTTCATAATTGTCAGCAGAGTCAAGCATAATACCAAATACTTCACAGGGAACATGCAAATCCAGCATCTGATTGGTTGCGATTAGATTCCTTTTCAGGCAAAGGAGCTTCACCATCAGCAGATGAGTTCCTAGAGCATTGACCATTGTTAAAATGAGTAATGTTATCCAATTGAAAAGCAGCAGGTGTCATAATAGGTTGTACTCCACAAAGACTGATTTTTATTTCTCCAGCAGAAATTGGAGTAACATGTGTAGGTGCAATTGTTGATATATGTTCCACCCTCTGCTTCTTTGGTTTCTGCTCCTGTTGGTGACCTGCAAGAAAACTTCCCACCACAACCTGATGCATAAGACAGCAAGAGAAGTGCTAAGTGAGATGTTCCTCATACATTTTAATTTAGTTCTTTCATTGGATGTGTTATTTCTTCATTTTTTTTTTCAGGAGTAGTTGATTCATATAGCATATAAATAGTTCATCATAATTCCAGTTTGAGAGCACTGATCTTCTAGCCTACAAAGAGGGGTGTGAAAAAAAACAACCAAACCAAAACCAAACCATAAATAACCATGTTCTTCTAAACCCGTATAAGAACCGAACCAATTTTTTGAACCGGTTTAAGAACTGAACCATATTTTCTAAACCAGTTTGATTTAGAGAACCGAATCGAACTATGTCCACCCCAAGGGATGTGAAAAAAATCATGTAAACAGAACCAAACTGAACCTCACCATAAATAACCACATTTTTTTTAACCCGTTTAAGAATTGAACCATTTTTTCTAAATCAGTTTGGTTCTCGGAACGGAACCACTTTCCTGGTTGTGTTCGGATCAACATAGAAATCCAAACTGAATCAAACCATCCCCACCCCTACTTTATAAATCAAACAATTCCTTTGTGATGAGAGTAATTTGAACAACCATCATTTGCACCAATATTATCTTATTTTCCTTTTTATTCATTAAGAATCAATTTAACCTAAAAGCTTAAACTGCTAAGTAAAGATCACATTAATAATTTTATATTATATTTCTATAACACGCCCCTTCACATAAGAACTCATTAGACTTGAAGAATGGACAACACACAAGTTTGCCTACTTGTGCTAAGAAACTCCATAACATTTAATTATTTATTGATATGATAGGGTCAATGAGGATCAAACTCATGAACAACTTAATCATAGAGACTCTAATACCATGTAATGCACCCAATTCAACCTAGAATCTTAAACTGTCAGGAGAAAGCTATATTAATGGTTTTATATTATATTTCTTTGACATTAACAAAGGTCAAGCAATTTCAAAAGTTTTTTAAATATTCTATATCAAATATCCTCTGTACCTGCACAGGACTTGCAGCTACCAGCAAACCAGCCAGTCCACCCCCCATTACTCGACCATCTGGACCTGCCAAAGAGACACTCATCCCACCAGACCTGCTCTTTGTTAATCCATTCTCAGTTGGCATAAATGAACCAGACAATGAAAGAATCTCAAACCGCCCCTGTAAAAGCACCAAATACACCTCAGCATATTTATTTCAATGTATTCACCTAGTGCCACAACTAAGTGAAATAGGAAGATAGCTGTGAATCAATTCAGTGTGATATTAGAGTGAATTAATGGCAAAGAAGGATGATGACTTAGCAGCCACACATCAAATCTCTAATTCCAAAATGAAAGAAGTTTTATCCTGTTAATCGAATGGCAGAAAGAGCACTGATATAAAACCAAGTGCATTAGTCTCAGCTGATAGAGAAACATAGGACTAAACTCTCCCCTTTTGTTGTGCCAATGACAAAGGACTGAACTAACCTCATATGTTAAAGTACCCCCTGATGAAGTTGGTTGACGAAGTGTAACATTTGAAATTGTGCCATTTGCAGAGAGAATGCATATAGCATAGCATCCTTTTTGAGAGAAAGACATGATCTTCATAGTAACATCCTGAAACAGGCCATTAAGAAAATCATAAATACAAAGCACACTGTATATATATACTAAAATAAAGAAAAACAACAATGTGGGCGATACATTACTTTCAATAATGACCATACTGTACCCAACCTAAAGTTACCATCCATGTAATATTAAATACAAGTTGAACTATTTCACATACTATATATTGAAGCTAACAATATTACTTAATCATTATAACAAAATTAACTTGCTATTGTCTATATTCATATTTTATGCATACATTATCTATTACCCAGCATTAAATGTTAAAAATTTAAAAACTCCTTCGCTACTTTAAATTTGAAGAAAATCTGTTTAAAATAAGAGTCGCAAACCAATTTCATACAAGCACATATAAGTATCTGTGTGTGTGCACGAGGGCGTGAGTTGTGTGTGTGCATGAGCACACATGCATAATTAAACACATGTAGGCATCTGATTGCATACACCAATATTACTATACTAAAACATAAAGACAACAGAGAATACTGCACCAAATAAAGAAAGGAAATATCATATATGCTAAAAGGCATTTGCATTTAAGAGGTAAGATAATAATGTATATAAAGAAATGTAAGGAATTTTAACAAGCAAACAAAATGAATGGCTTTGGCGTTTCTTCAGAATATGGCATTCATGCAAATTGGTTGGATTAAAGTTATAATCTGATTATTTTCAGAATATAGACCTAGAAGGAAATGAACAGAATACCTCGCCAGCATTTACTGTGAGCACGTGAGGTGTGAAATTGGCACCAATTGAGTATGCAATTCCATTACCTATAAAATACGTAGATAGGTAGATGAATATTAGACAAAGTAAGAGACTAAGAAAATGTAAGTTCAAAGAGAAGTTACTATCTAATTCACAAAAAAAATAAATAAAAAAAAATAGCACTTTGAGAGCCAAATCTGATAAAAAAAGATGTCATGAACCAGGATTATCTTCAAATATAGAAGTTCAGCAATGTTAATGTAGCATAAGCATGGGTTGCATACTAAAAAAAATAAAAATAAAAAAATCAATGTTCACATCCAACCTCCATGAATTTAAAAGAAGACTTCATTGCTTTTGAATGACCATATAAATTTAAACTATCATTTTATGAAGCCACTTATTAACATGTTGCATGGAAGAAAATATCTTAAAATCTTAATATAAAATTATCCAGACTATTTTCCTATAACACTAACCTTTTTCCCAAATATGCAAATTCAACAAGCATCCTTGCTCAATTATTCAATTTCGGGTCCTTATTTTGCAACATGTCATGGTCCAAACCAATATCCTCCTACAAGCCTTATGAATATAATTATTATTAGTTTAGACTCAGACCAGTTCAATCCTTGACACATCAGCTAAGTAATGGACAGAACCTCATGAATATGCAGATGTGGTGCCTTGAGTAATTCTAACTGCATTTCCATAGTCAGATTATGTCATCTAGCCCCAATAAAGGAAAAAATAAGCACAAAGTGCTACGTGAACTGAAACACAACCTCACTTTACTCTGACCACAAAAATATCCCATTCCACCTCCGCACATCTTCATTTCCAGATCTGAAAGGGAATCTAAGCTAAGGGTCCACCCTTACCACCATATATAAACTCCACTTCAAAAGCATGAATCTAATCCAAGAAACAAAACAAAACACACTGAAAACCCAGATTAAATCAACTACAACCCCAAAAACAAAAATAATAATAATAATAATCAAAATCATTCATTTTTCACATAGTCAAATAAAAATTAGATATTCCTCCACCCCAAAAGTAAATGACAACCCTACTGAATTTGTAATTACTCCAAATGAAACAGTAAAACCAAAAAAAAAAAAAAAAAAACACACTGCAGCAAGTAAGATTAAAGGGTAAAAATGTAAAGATCAAAGAGCAATAATCTTTTTATACCTGGTCCTGCATTTTGAACTTCATAAAACTTATAAGACTTCTTGATTGATTCAACAGGCCTCCCTCTACCCCTTTTCCAGGCTGAGAACTCTCCGGTCAACGGAATCGATGACGAAATCGGCATCGGCGACAGCGCCACCTTGCCGTCCGGCCCATACTTCCTAGGCCTACCCCTTTTCTTCTTTCCATCTGTACTACCAGGTGTGCCCGCTGCACTCGCCGGAGCAGGTGCCGTTACCGGCGCCGGCGACTCCGCCAGTGGTACGGGAAACTGCACGGAATTTGGAGCCACGTGGAAGCTTTTTGTGGCCTCATCAACCTTAACCTCATGCCCGGAACTAAAAAACGTTCTTTCCTCCATTTTTATGCGAATCAACGAAAATCCAAGACACCCCAAAACCTTAAAAAATAGCTTAAACCCTACCCATTCAAGATTCAAGCATTTTCAAACTAGAAAGAAAAAATTGAAATTTTTTTAACTTTGTGAAGAGAAATGGATATGAATGCTGAAGTAAGATACCCAGAAATAGTACAATGACGTTGGAGCTCTGAAAAAAAATTTGTGACTGCACAGAAGAACTTCAAAAACACAAACTTTTTTCTAAAATGATGAAAACCCAGAACCAGAAGCAGAATTTTCAAATTGTTGAGGTTGAACTCGGAGCAAAAGGAAGTAGTGTAACTCAAACATCCACCATTGCAGAGAAAGAGCTTCAAAAAATTAACACAAAAAAATTGAAAAAAATTTCTACAATTACAGAGAAAAAAAATAACAACTCTTGTTCGTAAATTTCTCTAGAGTGATATATGAAATTTAGGGTTTTGCAGGAAAAGGTCAAGTAAATAAATAAAGTTGAAAAAAAGGGAAATAATATAATAAAATTTAAAATGAAAAAGTAATTAAATAATGGGAATTTAATTATTAATTAATATTTTAATTGCAAAATTCAAAGTATAAATTTTGGTTAAGAAATTGGTTCACGTCCGTCTTGGAAATTCAATAAAGGTGATTTAATAAATAACTGTTGACAGAGATACTAAATTTGAATACATAAAAAAATAGGAGATATTTTTGGAAAAGAAAGAAAAAAAAATGCTTTTTTATATAAAATTGTCATTTATTTATTCACACCCTCTTTTTTTTTTTAAAAAAAAAAAAAAAACATTTGAAGCTGTAAAGCTAAGGTTGGAGCCATTCCATTTCCCAACTTCTGACAATTTCTTTGTCTTTTTAGTTAAATTAAAGTTGACCATGATACATAAATGGCTTGTTTTCACTGCCTATAAAGAAAATTGATTCAAATGTCTCTTAGTTTGGTAAATCTAGTAATCTACTCTATAAATGCTCCCACAACGCATGCACTGCTCTCTTATCTTTTCTCCCATTGTTTTTGGCCTACTGTTTTTCCTTTGTTCCCTTTCCTCTCTTCTTTCGCACGCTATGTTGACCAAAAGGATTGTTTCTTAAGCTGTTTGAACGGCATCTTTAGAAATATTACAATATTAATTATTTATAAATAGAATCAGAGTAATGGAAATTAAACTCATGACCACTTAATTATAAATGTTTTGATATCTGGTAAACAACCATTTAAAGTCAAAAGTTTAAATTCTCAAAGTGATTGCTATATTAAATGTTTTATATTTGGGGTTTGTTTTTGTGAGGTTACAAGAAGCAAAATATTACCTCCCACTGGTCTTTAATAATTCGTGCCATAGATTTTTTTTATTTGTTTTACTTAACAGGTCTCATATATTTTTAGTTTATGTGATATAAATAATTTGCAGCAATATGAGATGATTTTTACTTTTTATATATATATGAGAAATAATTATTTTATATTGCATAAAATAATTATTTTATGCAATAAAAATAAAGTAGTGAGATCCATTATTTATTTTTTTTAAAGGAAAAGAAAAGATAGAGAATTCCGCTATCTTATCTCTATTGCATAAGATAATTATTTTACGTAAGATAAGATAAATAGATTCATATATATAAAAGGGAAATGTTATGTTTACAACCTATTTTCGTTTACAACTTCTTACAATCATATATTAACCATTGATTTCCGTCAATCAACGGTTAAGATTTTGCAAATCAAATTTATTAATTAATTATTATTTTACAATAAATGACAACCGTTGATTAACGGAAATCAACGGTTAAGATATGATTGTAAGAATTTGTAAACTATTTGGGTTATAAATATAGCTCCTCCATGTTATCAAAATAAAAATAAAAATATAGCTACTCCCATATTATAATAATAATAATGATAATAATAATAATAGTAAGATATTTATAAAAAGATACTATTTTGGTCTGGTGAGATACTGTGATATTATGTTGCAGCAACTTCCCAAACATGCAAAGTTATCCAATGAGTGTTAAGGAAATGGAAGAACAAAGCCCGATAAAGCAATGTTATACAACTAAATTTTACATAAAATTGATAATTACTTTTTTTGTTTTTGTTTTTGTTGCCTTGAGATACTATCAGCTGAAAATTAATTCCTTGGTCCTTTTTTCTCTCTCCTCTCTCATTCTCTTTCTTTATGGGGGCTCAGATAAGCGGGTCCACTGTATATTTGCTCCAGCTGTAGACACTTAGGAGCTGTTTGATAGAAGTTTTTATCCTAAATACCTAGGCAAAATAGATAGGGATTTGAAAATGACAACGTTTGGTATAAGACTAAAAAAAATATGCTAGGAAATTGATTATCTAGGCAGCGTAATTTGTGTGAAAAATTGCAACCAAGACACCGTGCTAGATGACCACATCGTAGGTGGTAATTCCCGTTTACCTGGGAAAGAAAAAATTTACTTTGAAAACTTAATTAATTTTTCTGGTAATATTTCGTTCTACCAAATAATTTTTTTTTAACTTTACCAACAAATTTACTTTCCCACTATTTCCTCAATAATTGTATTTATCTTGTTAACATTTTTTCTCCTCTACCAAATATCCCTTTAGTTAATATTTGTAGCCAGATAGCAAATACAAGATTTTCATTTTTGCAAGGTAAAATAACTTGGCTTTCTTTTTGGGAGGGTTAAAAACTTAAAGTGCATTTGGTTGCATGTCTCCCAAAATCCACCGGTGAGCAAGCAAAACGAACTCAGATTTGGTTGGATGTTAGGTATCTCACTGTCACATAATTACTGTTAATATAATCTATTTTTTGTTTTAAAACAAAAAATTCACTCCCATTTAAATTCTGACTAATGAGGGTGGGGTGCAGAAAAGGCTTTTTGACCACTATAGTCTTTTTTTAATAATTATTTATCAAATTGACCTTATTTATAAACTATTTTAAAAATTTAACCTCTTCAGAAAACATAACACTAATCTGCCCCTGTTTGACCGTTGACCATAAAGCCTACCCAGGTACATCCTTCCCTACCCGAGTATATTTTGAAATTTTTTACCTACCCGGGTACACCCCTCGCTACCCGGGTATATTTCTTGAATGTGAAAAAAGTTTGAATTATTTACCCAGGTAGGTGGGGTGTACCCGGGTAAATAATCATACTCTTACCGGTTGCTTGTAGCGTTGATTGGGTTTAACTTCCTTGGACTTTCATCAACGTCGGAGTGTGGTCTCCAACTTGAAACGGCATTGCGAGAGAGATGAAGGGAAAATGCACCGAATAGAAGGATGGCGAAGAAGGAGAGAAGGAAGGTGGTGCGGGGTCTCCGCCTCATGATTTCCCTGTGGAAAATGATAAAAAAACACCAAAATATTGCGTTACAATGTTAAATTATTAATATTTGAATTGGAATCGAAGGGACATAAAATGTTGTGGTGGAGAAAATAAAAGGAAATAATTGGAGAATAATTATGGCTTTTTTCCTTATTAAGGATCATATTCTATACTAAAGTGTTTGTCAAAGAATGTTTGCGAGAATTTCTTGTTCGGTACAGATATAGAATTTCATAAATAAGAATTTCATAAATAGAAGCTACAGTAGTGGCAGAGGGAGACATGCCTTGCAATAATCATACCCAAGCAACTCCAACCTCTCTCTAACGCACCAATACCAGTTTCTCCAACCTTCTCTTTCTCTGAGGCACTTCCACGTACAAGCTTCTCAGTCTCAAACCACTTCCACTTTGAAGGCTCAAAAGCAACGAAAGGGTATGATTATTTACCCGGGTACACCCCTCTCTACCCGGGTAAATAATTCAAACTTTTTTCAGATTCAAGAAATATATTCGGGTAAGTAAAAAATTTCAAAATATACTCGTGTAGAAAAAGGTGTACCCGGGTAGGTTTTATGGTCAACGGTCAAACAGAGACAGATTGGTGTTATGTTTTATGAAGAGGTTAAATTTTTGAAATAGTTTATAAATAGGGTCAATTTGATAATTAATTATTAAAAAAAGACTATAATGGTCAAAAAACTGTGCAGACAACCTTGTACGCAACTTTACCCTTACCTAATTACAAACAAACTGTTTCCGGACTATATCTCACTTCTCGTGGACTATATCTACATAATCGGGAAGCCATTTACATTTGACTCGTGATTTGATTCAATGGTAACTATAACAATGTAAACTGAAAAATCAAACAAAAAAATCATGCTAAGACACAAAACCGAGCCTTCTTTCCTCAAAGGAATATTCAAAATCTTGAACAAAGTCACCTCCAAAAGGAACTGACGAAGGAGCTGGAGTCATCGACATATTCATAGGCATTGACACTGTCAGAGGTGTAGTGGGGACAGGAATTGGCCTTGTTTTTGGAGTTCTATTCTCTTCATCTACCATTGTGGCTGTCTTTGAGGGAGTAGTGAACCCCAAATTGTTAAGTGCTAATGTTTTCTGCAACTTCTCGTTCTGTATATTCAGTTCATCTGCGGCATTTGTCACATTCATTTTTGATGATATTGTCAAAGAGATGGGAGAAAGAGGCTGTCGTGTCAAAGGAGATTCTATGTCGCGAACACTTCCAGCACCAAACGAGTGTTTTTTCATAGGAACACCGGCAATATCGAGTCCTCTTCTAGCTGTGGGAACAAAAAAAATGCACTCGTAAAAGTTCTAAATGGATGCATTATGGTACGTGAAAGTCGCAAGTATAAACCATAATCATATTAAGCTGTTTGTGCAAATTATGTGAAACACAAACATCAAAGAAATGCTAGATATACCGGCAAGGAATTATAGGAAAATCTACCAGCTGAGATGTGGCTTTGGCCTCCACCTTCAACATCAAACACAAAAAATGTCTAAACCGTTCCTTGGTGCCACATTCAGCTTACCAAAAGCCACCATCAAGAGTACTTGGGAGAATCCGTTGAAGAATCTTCTTCTAAAAAAAGGAAAACATAAACAGGAATCCAGCGATCTTTAAGGTTGTGTTTAGATGGCAAGTTGACACATTGATGGAGGCAGCTTATGTCATTCATTTTGAGAAGAAAATTTACAGAACGAAAAATGCTATGATAGGGGAATCTGACAATAACAAAATCGCCCTCTACCTCAAACAAATAAAAGAAAAAGACGGGAAAAAAACAATGGAAGACAATTTGGTTTTACCAACATTTATATTTTGCTTAGCAGGATCTGGACCTAGAGAACCTACCACATCCCAAACAACCCCCTTACCACTTGAGCCAAACCTAAGGGCAACAAATTCTTAAGAGATATTCTTCATCCCTGTTCTTTCCTTTCAACCAAACAGGAAGAAAAATGATTAAACGCTTACCAAATGAGAAATCTGCAAGCCAGATACTCAAACAAAAAAGGGGAAAAAAGAGTAGAGTCAGTCTAAAAGAAACTACCTGATGATAAATATGATGAAGCGCCATCATCCATGTAATTTAGTTGCTCAATTTGGCGCCCTTTGTCAGTCTTCCTCGTAGAGCATGACTGAGTAGCTTTTGAATCAGGTTTCGAAGTTTGCAGTGCTGCTGCTCCAAAGGAAACTTTTCTAGTAGTTGCATTTCCAGCTGACTTCCTAGGTGTATTTTTTCCACTCTGGGGCTTTGAAGGGCTTGATTTTGACCCATAAAGTGCTTCCTGCTCTGCTACCAATTGTCCCTTAAGTTTCTTCATGTCCTGAAACAAAACTTAATATTTTAAGAAGTTATTGAGAAAAAACACAACAATCTGTGTAATGGATGATACAGATAAATAAAATGTTGCCCAAATTTTAAAACCCAGAGACAAAACTCAGGGTTTTCTTATAGCCCTGTGAATCTTTAAATGCAATAAGTGGTCCATACCCGCTGCCTACGACGTTGTTGCTCCTTCTCTTGCTGTAATAGGGTGTAGTCTTCAAGCATAGAGAGCAGACGGATCTAAAAAGTCACACACAGCAAAAATTAGTTTGAAACAGACTTACTTGAGAAACCAACACTATAATACAAACAATAAGATGACCTCCAATAATTCCTTACGAGATTAGCTTATTGTGGTTATGTCTTAGAGGGTACTTACACCATCGAATGTGAACTCAATGCCTCTGTCCTTTTCCCATGCTACAGTTTTTGAAGTCAAACCGTCTACCATTGCTATATGCAATTCAAAAAAAAATGAAAAAGACATTCAAAACTACTAAACAAGCACTGAGGGACAGAAAAGCAAAGTTGTGTTAATATCACTGTGGTAAAGGTCCTATAAGAAAACGACAAATGTGGCTGACAATTAAGATCTATGGATACCTGGAATTTTGTTAACCAAAGCACGGGCTTTCTCAGCTCGCTTGAGATTAAGATGAGTACCTCTCCCAGCATTGTACCGATTTTCATCCTGGAGGAAACAAATGTACAATAAATTAATAAACTGTAAATACGATTGATATAGGAGGGGATCCTCCTTACACTGTTAAATAACTTTATATAAACATTGAATTTAACCAAACCAACCGTTGAATTACACCATTCGATGTATACAAAAAAAGTTAATTATAAAAAATTATTAAACATTATAATAAGTGTGTAAGACTTAAACCCTGGCTAATATATATTTATATATATAGCCAAAACAGAGATTACTAAGGACGATCAAACAACTAACCCTGTTGTACTCCTCAAGCCAAGTCTCTTCATCACACGACGATAACCATTTCTCAACCTTTTCAAGTATTTCTGTTCTGCAAAAAGCTTCCTCTTTGACTTGGGCAATCTGAAGTTCAATTTGTTCAAGAACAAAAGCAGGGTCTACAGATCCTGCATAAAAAAGGAAAACACGGACTTTAAGTTTGCAGAAGAAATAAGTGCACTCTTCCAGTGGTATCACACTTGGAAGTTACCAGACTCTATAGCTTCAAGAGCATATTCCACTGCACTATCAATTTCTGGAACCAAATGAGTCTTCCGACACATCTCCTCTAGCTCTACTCTTTTCTTCAAAACAAGCTCTTTCATTTTGCTTGATTTCAACTCTTCTAACCTAGATACTTCTGCCTCAACCTGCATGAAATTATTATTACTTCTCTAGGAATTCTGAACCACATAAAATCAATAAATCTAGACCTTGTTTTCTCCAGTAACTTATAACTCACACAATTGATGAAGTCCTCAGACAAGGTGTTTGGTTCAGTTACTTCATGTTCTGAAGCAGCTATATTACAAGTAACACTTTGAAACATCTGTTGCTCTTCGATAGGTGTATCCATCAAATTCCAGATTTCCAACATTGTTGTTGCTAGATCTTGGAGCTGCCAGACCGTAAGCAATTAATAACTTTGAATTAGAGGAAATAACATGAAATTATAAATACAAAGTTGGGTTTCATATTTAAAACTGTCTTTACCTTCTGCATTCTCTGTATTTTAACCTCTCGCAGTTCTTGTATAGCAACAGCCAATTGCTTGATGGAATCATTATTTACACTCTTAGATCCTTCTGGATTTCCTAAACTAGGATGGACTCCACTGACTGTCTGCTTAAAGTCCAAACCAAGCACTGAACAAAGAGAATTTAGAGTATACAGGTGGTCCTGGACCTTCTTGAGGCGGTCACTCTGCATTCGAAGAAGATACAAGCATTCAGTTATAAACAGCAACAAAATGTGATGTTTTAAGTTGATATAACCAGGAAATAATAATAATAGTAATAATAATAATAATACTATATGAAGCAGAAGTAAATTATTGACCTTCTCCTTTTGAAGTGCACGAAGCTGTCTATGCAACTCTTCAAGCTTTCTAACCGATAAATCAGTTTCATCTACAATGGCTGGAATATATTCTCCTGGACCATAAATCTCATTTGAGATGCTTTGAACCTGCTCTTGAACTTCTATAAATTGATTTCTGCGCTCAGACTTCATTTTTTGCATTTCCTCGAGCTCTGGGCGAATTATTGCTAGCTCTTCCTTCAAGCTTCTAGCATTTTGATCAGACTAGAAAAATGAGAGAGAAACAAGTGAGAACCAATCCTCTTCTTAGTAGTTAAATTGGATAACAAATAATCTTGACAGTAAAACTCATGACATAACAATTAAGAAAACTATAGGCTAAATCTATTTTTGACAAGAATGCATATTATTCCTCTCTTACAAAACATCTACATTTGGTGCATAGTAATCACTGAAAAATTTAGATACAAATCTGTATATAAGCTTTTATCAATGCTTACAAACTAACATCATTACTAGATCATACATAACCACTTCAAATGATTGTCACACAAATATGACATTAAACACAGTTTCATTTAATTTAAGCTCTTTTCTCCACCCTATTTAAGCAATACATATACATGCCCTAAAACAGCAACCAGAAAATTAGTAATTCATAAAATATCCAACCTGCCTAATATGTATTGGTCGCTCTCCCATTGCTGAACAGATAGCTGCAAGCTCTGCTTCAGAATCAGCAATTTCCTGCCTTAGTTGAGCTCTAGACCAATTTGCTTTATCTACCTTTCTTCTATATACTTCTATACACTCTTGTTCAAGCTCATACAAGATTCTATCTTTTTCAGCCTCAATCTCCCCAACTTCATCCCATATTATCTAATTTTGAAAAATAAGTCAAGAAGAACGATAAAGTTTCTTCAGAGTTTACCTTATATTCCTTAATTAGGGAAGATAATTGCAGCAAAAGCTAATGTATACCTGAAGTTCATGAAGAAGCGATCTACAAGTTGTTTCAGCTTGCAGAAAAGGATCACTTTGAGGTTTAGACATTTTGAAGCACTTGGAAGTACCAAAACAACAAAAAATTCTCTTAAAACATTTCCCACAAAAAAATAAATAATAATTAAAAAAATCAAATGAAGTTAAACTTGTAAGACAGAAAATGTCATTCTAAATTGAGTAGAAATTAATGTATCACAGGTATAGAAACTAACAAATACTTGCAACAGAAAATCCATGATTAATATTTCAAAATTCAAACAGGTCACCATCCAAGAGGAATCTAGTTCCAACAAAGAATAACTTATCAATTAAATGGTAGTAAAATGCAGAATATATTGTTGAGTAAGAATCACTTTAAATGACAGCATGCTCATATTGTGTTGAGAGTCTCCCTAGAAAAAGGCTATTGCTACAAGAAATCATAGAAAAGGACTTTGGTTGATGTCAAAAATCCGTAGCCAATGCATAAGGCGGCCATTAATCCCATCCAGTTATGGCTCAAACATATGCTAAATAAGTGAAACGATAACACAATGTACTAGTTGCTAAATAATGAATTGCCAGACTAACAGCAACTGTTCTCTTTACTAAACAAATACTTCTGAAACCTAAAACCCACACCATTATCACAAAACTCCATAAGAGATACCCTGAAAATACCACATTACTGATAGAGCCAGACCTTGATCTGAACGGTTTTTCTGAGGTTTAGATTTTTAACACAGCACCATTATTCTTAATCCAATGTCTCCAATGGGAAAACGAACCAAACCAAACACGATTGAACCCCGAAATTCAATCAGAACCGGCATCAAAAATTTCAAAGCAAGAACAAGCTTTGAATGCATTGCAGCAGGAAGAAACTATAACCAAATGCACAATCGAAAGGTAATGCGAGGAACCAAAACACAAACAAGAAACGATGCTAAATTTAGGTTGATGTTTTATAGAAGAATTTGTGGAACCTAGGTTTAGAAATTTTGCCGTTACACTTTCCTGGGAAACCAGAGAAACAAAAACGAGAAATGTACCAATTTAGTAAACGATTTGATTCGACCTTCGAACAAAAAGTGATCGGTGAAATGCTTGGAATTCGAATAGCTCCTCGGAAGAAAGGGGAATAAATTTTCCCGAGAAAATGAAAATATGTTTTCCAGGAAAATTCAGTTTTGTGAATTTTGAAGATTTGAATTGGGATCAGAAATTGAATTATTATAGAAAAAACAGTGAGAGAGAAAGAGGAGGTTACGTTTGAGGAAAAGAGACCGTTGAAGAGCGCCGGGTGTGGATTTTGATTTGGTTTAATTATTATTAATCATGTTATTTATGGGTTTATCGTTTCCTGCAATATAAAATAAAGTTATATCCGCCAATTTCAAAACTACCTCATTTGTTTAGTGGAAGAACTCGAGGTGAAAATTTGGGTTGAACTCGACGGATCAATCCGTCAACCCGTAAAACGGGACGGGTTGAGTTATATTTTTCAACTCACCAATCTACCTCAACTCGCCTCGCTTAGTTGTGGGTCAAAATGAGTTGACGGTGGGTTGGGGTGGGTTGGCTCGCGGGTCAATTTTTTTATTTTTTTATTAATAGGTAGTATTTTATTTGAAACTAAGCTTTTGCGATATGAAAATTTTTTTATCTTAGTAATCTTCTAGAAAAAATAAAGAAGAAAAACTTTATTTATTACAAAGGTTATCCATATATTGAGGCAAAAATAAGTTCCTAAAAAATATTTGACTGAATATTAGTATACATTTAGGTTTGTGATTGGAAAAAAACTAAAGGGATTGTGAAATGAAAATAAGAAATATTATAAAATTAATAAAATATTATATTAAATTTTAAATCATTTTTTATTTTTTAGGCAGGTTGACCCGCCAACCCACCACAAAACGGGGTCGGTTGGGATTTTCAACCCATATTAAAATAAGGGGCAGGGAGGGCCAACCCGTTTTTTGTGGGGCAGGTCGGGGCAGGCCAACCCGTTTTGCCACCTCTACGAAGAACCAAAAAAAATTCATATAGTTTTAAAATATTTAATATTTTTCATTAATAAAGAATATTTTGATAAAATTCATAAAACAAAAATCAAACAAAATTTTTAAAATATTCTTCATTAATTTTTCAACCCTTAAAATGATATAGCTTTATTTTCTATTGCATGAAAAATAATATGAATGTTCCATGTTCAAATAAGATTCCTTTCCATGACAAATACACGTGGTCCATAATAAAAATATAGTTTACTTATAAGATGATGGTGAAAATTTGTTGTTTTGTTATTTTGAAAGTTAGAATATTATAAGAGAAAAATGAGATTTTACATGAAAAATGAATCCTCTCACTCTCATGTGATATAAGATGTAAATGTATAATAATAAAAGAATCCATTAAATGTATAATAATAAAAGAACCTGAAGGATCAGCCGTCCTCTTTACCTCTTGATCCTTAGCAGAATTAGACTTAGGATACTTGCCATAAACAGTCTCGACCCATTTACACTGGGTCACTAAATCAGCAAAGTTCCTCACAACAATATTTGACATGCGTTTAGCAATCTTTTCATTCAATCCCCTTTGAAACTTTACAGATTAGAAATTCGGAGTAGGTCGAGTACCCCCCCCCCCCCCCCAATAATTAGCGAACTTGACCAATCATTAAACTTGACCAAATAAGCATCCACAGATAAAGAACCCTACACCAGTTTATCAAACTCACCTTGTTTGGCTTCCCGAACATCCCTGGGAAAATACTCATGAAACAAGCCCTCAAACAAAGCCCATGTAAGCTCCTCACCCTGAATAACATAAGGTCGAAATACATTGCACCACCACTCGTGGGCAGCACCCTCCAGCATATAAACATAATACATAAGTTTCTGAGGATCCTGGCACCTCATAACCTGAAAAATCTTATCCATACCCATCAGCCAAGTAGTCACAACTTTCGGGTCCCTTGACCTCTTAAATGCAGGAGGTTTATGTTTTTTAAATGAAATGAGTCTCCTCTCATCAGCAGCACCTACATCAAACTGGTCAGCAACAGCGGAAGTCTGAGCAACAAATCAAGAGTGGGCTGACTAGTCTCACCAGTATGATGACTAGCCCCACTCTCCCCCTACTGGGGTGTAACAGAAGGCGTAGGTGTAGGAGTCACCGTAGCCGTGTGAGGAGGAGAATCACCCCTCCTATGATGAGCTCTCTCAGCCCTCATCTCAGTCATGAAGGCCTGCATCATATCCTGATTAGTTTTCATCAGGTTTTCTGTCATTGTTCTGTTAGTTGCCGTCTCCGTCTGCAGAGCACTCAGGACTACAATAACCGAATCAGGCGGTGGCGGATTTGCACCTCATGTTCCACAACCGCCACGAATCCTCCTCATGATAACTGTACATGTAACACAAATGAATGAGCTGATCAAACCCACACTAAGGAATCATATATACATTAATCATAAAGAGTCTACAGACAGCTATGCAACACAAAACACAGTCATACATATCAGAGTTCCCTCGTAAACTGATGTGATACCATAAAATGTAACAGCTCATTACGTACCGGTGTTGTTAACATTGATTATGATATTAAGCGCAGTTACAATCACAACGGTTTATTTAAAGTACGAGTAAACTTTTTCCTTTTCATTACGTAAGCATTTAAAACAATAATAAAATGTAATGACATAAGTTGTGATCATAACTGAATTCTAAACGCAGAATAAATAAAATAAAAGCTTAACTATCATACATTGCTTTTTCTAAGCTACTAAGGGGTTCCCATAACCCACTTAGCATAAATCTCACTTTTACAGTTTTTCTATAACTGAACACGCTTCAGTTTTCTGGTCATTATGCGCAACTCCCAAACTATAAGACTCATCTTTTAGTATATTAATCTAGACTCAATTACCTTGTCAACAAGGTATCACGACTCATAAAGATTTCTCTAGCTCCGGTTATCACCGTTTGAAGTTGGACAAGCAAAACTGTCAGCCAACCCAAAATAGGGCACCAAACATCCCTCACCATTTATACGATTATGGGAAAACCACTTAACCAATTGCTCTCAAATTTTTATACAAAATACTAGATACCTTGATCTTTAATTTGATATATCATGAGCCTAATTTGGATAAGAATTGAGGGAGAAACAATTCCTGGAAAGTGCAGACCCGATAGCCCCCTGCACATGGCCTCTTTGGACAGTCTCCACTCAATCGAACCTATAGAGCGCTACACAGCTTCAAATGGTACCAAATTTTGACAAAATATAGCTGACACCTCAAGCTTCAAAATGATGTATGAAACGTCCCTATTGGACCTATGTGGAGTGAGATACGTTCTCCCAAAGGCAGCCTAAAAACTGCTCATTTATTATAAATTTTAACGGCATCTCCTTTGTTTATTTAACATAGCTCACTTTATCAAAAGTGTGTTTTAAACCTCAAATGGTACCTAATAGACAAGGGTGGCACACAAGGGACCCATAATGCTTTGGTGCACTTACAACCCATAATAATTCACATCATAATCATCACTTTATCATCCATTACTTCATTGCATTAAAACTTAAACTTATTACAATCACATTATCCCATTTCATGCATTCTTAACAATTAACATATAAATCATAACCTAAAATAGGCTTATCGCCCTTCCATCACATACATGTTTTCCAATTTACAAAATGTCCATAAAGCATTAATTACAATTATCCAAATGTCAAATATAACTACAATAAAGTACCTCAAAATACAACAAGAAATATACCAAACTAGACTTAACAAAATGTAGCATGAGCAAATAAGGAATGATACCTATCACTAATGAAATATACAATATTCATTCTCTAAGTCTAGCCTATGCCAAATAGGACTCAAAATGCAAAATGACACTACACTGCATGAACTCCATGTACTCATCTCGTGGGTGTAACACTCCGTATATATCCGGTTTGTTATCATATCATCGTATTAAGCCACGCTTAATTTAAAAATGTAGAATATCTTTTTCTTTTCAATTATGACGTCATTATAATTAGCC